CCAGAAAGCCTTGACTGTGGCCTTATCCTTAGCAGTGAGACTGGTCATCTTGAAGGTTGGATGTGTTGGTGAGGCCACGGCGCGAGGTTTTTATGCCAGGAACAGATCAGAGGCGCACCCAGCACCACCCCTCAGGATGGGCGGCTGCCAAGCGATAGGTCTGGTGTGAGATAAACTGAAATCTTCCCACCTTGGTTCTGGGGGCCCCTTATAAATACATCACAATCATTTAATCTCAGCTTCTTTTTTTGCATTCATGTTTTTATAATAATAAATAATTAATAAAATCAGCAAATATCCCATAAATAATTTGATAACAGGATAATCGAATCTGAAACCACCTTTTAATTTAGTACAGTGGCGTCTAACATTAGTTCATTATGTGTGGTTACGACACCCTGTAAAATGAATGTAGCTTACAGGTCACCCATATGAGCAAAACATGATTTCATTCCTAACAGTGTTTAATTAAGATCGCTGAAGGGGACATAGAAAGGAGAAAGTAGACGGACTTGTCACTGGGTCATAAATCTTTGGCCATCAGACAGCTGTTGTTCTCCATAACTACACTAAAACCTTCCACTTCACTGATGGATGATCAGAACTTAGCTGCTGTGACAGAATCTATCTGAGGTGAGGACCTGATGAACCGGTGAAAACAGTGCAAGATTCTACTAAACACTTCTCTCACATTTATAAGTTCCAGTTTTTAAAAATCAAATGAAATCACTTTACAAGCTGTGCGTAAAACGCTGGTCAGTGGACAGCTCCTGGTGCTGAAATGAGCCAAGACCAAGAACTGACCACATGAAAAATAGGAACATTAAACATGTGACCAACAGGTCGACGTACAAGTGGCACATTCTAAGATACTAATGTAGCTGTGTATATCGTATGGTGTAAAATAAATAAATAAATAAAACAGCAGAGCGAATGAACAAATACATTAATTAATTGGGTTGTTTAAAAAGAAACATAAAAGAAAAAATAATATCAGAAAAATACAAGAAAAAAAAATACAATTCTATACATACTTAGGTGTTTTATACATGATTTCGGGGTATTGCATCAAAAAGTTTGGTGAAATTCCTATTTCATTTCGAAATATTTATATCTCCTGTATGACATTTCAGTTTCATTTGCAACATTTTTTGTGTGTAATATTTCAATATCATGTGTGATGTCACTTTACGACATCAGTATCATTGCTTATTACTTTTTTTATCCTAATCTTGTCAAAGTTACCTAATTTCTTTGCTCATTTCTATGAGGCGCTGCATTTGTTCAGCGCTGCACATTCGTAGTCTTTTTTTTCTGTTTTGTTTTATTGATATATTGTATTAAAAATGCGCACGCGGGGGGGGGGGGTACAGTAAAACCAGAATAATCCATAATATTATTTTTTTTTTACAGCATATAAAACAGACACCAATAAAATAGTGCTCGGTATGTTTCTCATTAAGTCACATTACATTACTTATTACGAAATCTATGTTTTCTATGGACCACTTATTTTTGGTTATGGAATAAAATACGGCACAAAAACCTGTACAATTGCGCTCATCGGCTGCATGACGTCTATTTTTATATTTTCTTGGTAATATGCAACTTCATATTTATTAACTTTGGATCGTTGTACACTGGACGTTAGCCTACATCTCTTGTTGGTGCTATGCCGGTTGTTTAAACCGAGCCAGAACGAAATACATGTTGTTACCAGCTGAGAGTTGTGCTTATTTCTAATGTGACCGTTTTAATGTGTTCTACATGTGGATTAAGTAAATGCAGCTTCATCGTCATGAGATGTTATGGATCACAACTGACAACCAGACTGAGCTTTAAAAAAAAAAAAAGAAGAAGAAGAAGAAGAAATACCCAACATAGGACACATGTTCAATTAAGATAAAATGTGAATGCAATAGCAAGATGACGCCCACATAAACTATTTAGTCAGGGACAAACGGAGCGCTGCAGATACGCCCTTCTCTTATCACTGATGCAGATCCAGAACAAATTGTTCAATCGTTTGCTGGCGTCTGGGAGGAGGAGCAGGTTTGCTTTAAAAGGGGCACCTGGTGCCAATTAGCTCATCTTCTACGGAAAATAGAGAGCTGCAAAAATGGTCGAGTGGACAGACTTTGAGCGTGAAACCATCCAGAACATCTTCTCCCAGATGGACTACGAGGAGATTGGCCCCGCTGCTCTTTCCAGGTGTGACATCTTTGCAGTTTTGCATTAAAATCCTTTTAAGAATTTGTATTCATGTCCTTTACGCACAGATGGAGATTTTACTGCACATCTTACTTGAACATGTAACGTGTCTCCTCAGGTGTCTGGTTGTCTACCCCTGGACTCAGAGGTACTTTGGAAACTTTGGAAACCTCTACAACGCGGCTGCCATCAAAGCAAACCCAATGATTGCAGTTCACGGAAAAACTATCCTCCACGGTCTGGACCGTGCTGTGAAGAACATGGACAACATCAAGGCCACCTACGCAGAGCTGAGCGTGCTGCACTCTGAGAAACTGCATGTGGATCCTGACAACTTCAAGGTACCGTGAATGAATGAGACACTTATCACTAGTCAATGACTACAACATTCCACCTTCCACACTGTTGATGTGCACTGATGCATGTCATGTCTTCTTGCAGCTCCTGGCAGACTGCCTGACCATTGTGCTCTCTGCCAAGTTGGGCAATGCCTTCACCGGAGAGGTCCAGGCAGCTTTCCAGAAGTTCCTGGCCGTGGTGGTGTCCTCCCTGGGAAGGCAGTACCACTAGAGAGCTGAAACAGAGGACATCATCTGCTGATCATCTGTTCTGACTCAAAAGTGAATAAAAGAAGAAGCTCAGTGAACCTGCTGTATGCTCGTGATTACTTTCAAAATAGATACACAAAATGACAAGCACTTGGGGTGATGCAAAACAACAAAACAAAAAAGCTGACCTTCAGACACAGCTCCATATGAGACGATGGCAGATGGCCAAACATCTACATGCACACTAGCATCAATAATGAGAACTCTGCACAGACGTTCTGTACAACATCAGTGAAAACATCAGAGAGCTGCAACAGAGGACCCTCACATGTTGATCATATGTTCAGAGGTTTCTTGTTTTTATCTCAAAAGCAAATAACTCAGTGAGCATCTAGATCTCAGTTTGTCTGTGATACATGAAGAATAATGTGTCTGAGCTGAGCTGACATGCAGAGAACTTGAAATGTGACCAATGAATCTTAAAATACAACTTGAAATGTAAAGAATTGGAGATCAAATACCTACAATTTTTAGGTGCATAGGTATTTCTTTAATAGCAAAAAAATGTTTAGATAATTGGTATTATAACAACTATTACATATATGATTTTAAAATGATGATTAGTTATTTAAAAAATACTTCCAAATTCACTTTTGTCTACTGACAAATAAATTCACCATCTGATGTTAGGCTTTAAACTGGGTTTGCTTATTCTTTACGTCCATGTGGCGTTGGACAGATTTGAAGAACTTGTGGTTTTTTGATCCATATTCAAACAGAACAAAAAGACCATCACAGCATCACTCAGGGTGAAGGCAGGAGACATCCTGGACAGGTCACCAATCTATCACAGGGCTACACTTAGAGACAGACAAACAAGCACACTCACATTCACACCTAATTTAGAATCACCAATTAACCTCAACATGTTTTTGGACTGTGGGAGGAAGCTGGAGAACCCGGAGAGAACCCACGCTGCACGGGGAGAACATGCAAACTCCACGCAGAAAGATCCCAGGTGTCCTAATCTGGACACACATCGGGGATCTTCTAGCTGTGGAGTGACGGTGCGGAGTCACCGTGCAGCCCATGTTCTTTTTAGGTTTGCAGGAAACTCTTCGTCTGTGTATAAAAGACATGTATCCAAATCTTTCACTGATTTTCATGCAAAACTGCAAAGATGTCACACCTGGAAAGAGCAGCGGGGCCGATCTCCTCGTAGTCCATCTGGGAGAAGATGTTCTGGATGGTTTCACG